CCCTGTCCGCTCTTCTCGCTTTAGTGACGACTCCTCTCTCCAGGTCACTTTGCAGTTGTGCTGTGTCACCTGGAGTTTCGGGGGGTGGGGAGAGGGCGCTGGACCGATCTCTGCGGCCGACCCGGGACCTGGCCAGGCTGACCCGCAGATCTTCCTTAAGCAGCTCCAGGGCCCGGGTAGGGGCGGTGTAAAAAGTTTCCGTGACAACCAGGAAATGAGTAACTGGCAAGCCCGCCCGGCCCGGCCGGCGGAGGGGGTGGGAGGCGGGAACCCTGCAGCCGCGCTGCCCCAGGCTCTGGCCCCGAGCTTCGCACTCCGGACGCGCGCTCAGCCTGGCGGGGAGCGCCCCCCGAGTCCAGCGTAAGTCGGGGCCAGGGCGCGGGGTCTGCGGCGTCTCAGCCGCCTCTGGGGTTGGGAGGCGGGCGGGGCCCGGGGCTGCACCGGAGACGCGGCGGCGGGGCGGCCCGGGCGGGGACGCGTGCGGGGCGGTGAGGGGCGCGGGCCACCTCTCGGGCGCAGTCCCACTCCGCCCGGCCCCCGATGCCCCTGCAGCGGCCTGGCGGGCAGCGTCACCTCCAAGCGCGCGGGCCCCACACGGGACCTCATCTGCGCGCCTCGTGGCGGGACCGCGTGGCTTCTGATCATCCGAGCGGAGCTGTGTGTGGGGTCGCCCTGCCTGTGGCCACCCCGGCCCTCCTGGGGAGAGGGTAGGAGAGCAGCCGGTTTCTTCCCGGGTGTGGCATGAGGTGAGGGAGTTGCTGGGCGCAGGAAGCCCCCGACACTTCCTCTTTCTAGATGTTAGCACAGGAGACCCCACGCGGCGCGCGACTTTCTCGTGGAGCGGCTGAAGCCTGGTTCTAACCCAATGGCCTCCAGCTTCCGGGCTCCAGGTAAAGGGACTCTGGAGGCGCCCAAACCAGACTCCCGGCCTAAAACGTAAAACGCGCCTTCTGTTTGCAAACAAAGTGCTGTGGAGCCCAGGGGAAGCGCTGAGCAGGATCAGGGATGGACATCGTTGAGCCTTTCACCCCCAAGGCCCTCTTCCGGACTCCACGGTGACCAGATTCTGGCAGCATCCTAGGCCCTGGGTTTTGGGAATCAAATGCTTTCAGGATTGCCTTCTGTTTTCCTGTTCCTCTTTAGGATCTGACGGGGGCTCTTCCTTTGTGCAATCCAGTTCTCCCTGAGAGAGCTGCCCGCCAGAGCTGAGGCTTGGCCACTCCTGCCCAAGTCAGGCCTAGCAGTGCCAGACGGGATGCCGGTGCTGGTGGGATTGCTGCCCTCAACCTGGGTCCTCCCACAGCCTGCGGTGCCTCAGTGGCTTTCGCTAATTGCCTGTGTATTGCTGCTGCTGCTCCCAGACCCTTCTGCCCTCAGATTTTCCACTTGTGGGTCACCATGAAGTTATTCTACTAGCTCTTTCTTTCCTCTAGCTGAGTAATTTTCGGAGACACAGCATTTTCAAGTCCTGGCTTTCAGGAGACAAAGATCTGAACTTCGAACCTGATGTCATCATCCCAGAAGTTGGTCCCCCTTTGCAATTGTGCCACTTGGTAGAGAGGTGTGTGGGTGATCTTTTTATCAGAGGGCAAGAAGGTGCAGGAATTTATGGGGAGAAAATCTCCCACAAGGGCGATATCATCTGGGAGGAAACTAGTGTTGTATTTTTCCTGTTTTGGACCCTTGGGAGTTAATAAAGAGACAGTCAGAGAGAAAGGGCCCTGGTGAGGAGGGTATAGTTTCTCAGGAGACAGTGATGACCAGATCAGGTTTGGAGCCGGCAGATCAGGGTCGGGCCAGCGACTGGCACCAGCTCCGTTCTCAGTGCCACCTGCGGTGGGGTACCAGTATCAATGGACAGCTTGCTGGGAGAAGGGTGGGACTTGGGTGGAAGAGCTGCAGAATGCATTTTGTGGAGGAGAAGGGTGAGCCCACTCTGTACCCCAGGAATGACAAGGTGGTGGCTTCCGGGTGTCCAGAGCATCAAAACTTGAGGGAAGAAACGCATTTGCTCTGTTGGTCTCAGTGACTCCCAGTTAGAAGAATCATTAGGACAGGACTCCAGCAGCTGTGCTCGGGCCGTCTTAGTGAGACAACTGGTGTCAGCGGTTACAGGGAGAGGTACCTTTGCGGTCCAGGCCTCTGGGGCTCCATGTGTGGGGCTGCAGTAGAGAAGGAGCTGAGGGGGCTGACACCAGTGCAGCCTGCCCTGTGGAGAGGAGCAGCACACAACCACAAGGGAGCTGAAAGCCTGTGACAACCTCTAGGGCTGAGGTAGCTGCTGGCTTTTCAGTCCTGTGTGATAGTAGAGTCTATTTCTTTTTTTTTTTTGTCTTTTTCTTTTTTATCGGTACCGGGGATCGAACTCACGACTGCCTGCTTGCAAGGCAGGAGCTTACGCCGCTGAGCTAAATCCCCATCTCCTGTGTGATAGTAGAACAAGGGGCTCCCTCTCAGCAAGAGGGCGGTGTCATCCCATGCTGTCTGGAAATAGAGACCTCGTGAGCAAAGACAGGAGGCACGGGATCTGGATTGGCTCCATTAGGCCCATGCCCCTCAGCAGGATGTTATCCATACAGACGTGCAGGACAGCTCTGGTTATTGAGGGCTTCCTGTTTTCCAGACTTTGCTACCCAAAGATGCACAATGCCTGTACGAACTCACTTACTCTTTGCAAGTGTCCTGTGGAGTATTGTTATCCCCATGTTACAGAGGAGGAAACTGAGGCCTGGGGAAATGCTAGCTTGTGAGGTGAGTCCCAGTCACTGAACATTAATGGAGCAAGAAGCAGGTTAGGCTTAAAACTGAGTTGTGTTGGGGACCCTTGCAGGAAAGAGGAGAGCACAGTGACCTTTCCATTTCCTTGTTGGAGGACACACCGATGCTCAGTCTGGGCAGTGGAAGGATGGAAAGCTTGGCCCTGCTGGAGAAGGGAGGAAAGAGAAAGGCCAGCCCAAGGGCTTGACAGCTGATGGGAGGTCTGGCCCACGGGGCAGATGAGGCTCCTCCTTAATTACCAAGCAGTTCCGGGTCACAGATCCAGTTTGGGCCTGACAAGAGCTGATGAGTAAGTGCTGCCCGGGCATGGCATGGCATGGTGTAGAGAAACAGGGCTGCAGGTGTGCAGTGCAGGACCTGACCTGGGCACGGAGCTCCCTAGGAGTGGAAGCATGTGATGTCCTAATCCTTCAAATCCCTCTTCCCATCCACACCCTGCCCTACCTGTTCAACTCCTGTTCTTCTGCAGAGGCCCTTCCCAACACTGCCCAGGAAGCCTCTCCCCACATTCCACAGAGCCAAATGTGTGGTGCTTAGCTTGCTCCCGAAGGTCTCACCGCTTGATCAGCTACCCAAGCGATTTAAAGGTCCTGTCTAACACAGCAGGCCTCTCACCAGGGGAAACTAAAGTTCCCTGGCAGGCAGTGGGTGCCCAGCGGATTGCCAAGAGGGGCCACTTACCTAGGTGGACCCAGCCCTGGGGACCAGTCTTTGCTCTGCCCACTCAGAAACCCTCTATCATTTTCAGAGTGGTTTGGACTGAGGCTCCTGAATCACCCCGGGAATCCCCCAGAAAAGAGGGTACAAGTCAGAATGCTCATTTATTGATTTGCCAGAAAATTTTTTGACCATTAACCAGACAGAAGACATCTTGTCATCTGTTCCTGCATCTGGGACAAGATGCATGGAAGCCTTTGCCTAGCAAATCTGGGGTTGGGCTCAGGAAGGAGAGTGGGGGCCCTCTTGCCAGCGATGTGGGCATCTGTCCCCCACTGTGGTCCCTACACCAGTGGGTAGTTACCTCCAGGTAGAGAAGAGGTTTGGGTCAACCTGGCCTTGGGTCTCTCCTTGGCCAGTGCCCCAAGGGCAGGGTTATGTTAGGCCCTAGGGTTTCTCCCTTTATGTTTCTTGTTTTGTTTATTTGCTTAGTCCTCTAAGCCTTGGCTTCTAGCTACAGATTGCACTTGTGTATGTTAATGCAGTCTCAGGGCTGTGGGCCCAGGCTGAAGGGGCAAATGCTGTATGAAAATCAAGACAGACATAGGTGGGTCAGTAGGAAGCCAAGCGGGGAGCAAAGGAAGGAGGTCTCTAGTTAGCAGGGAGCCCTGAGGAGTGAAAGGGTCAGGGCAGCCACCTCTCCCTGCCCCTGCAAACCTGGGAGTGAAACAATCCCAAGGCAGTGTGTGCTATGACTGCCTCTGGCCCCCTTCCCTGCCCAACTGGCTTCTTGGGACTTAAAGAAAGGGCTCTCAGTGGTCTCTAAGCCCTCTCGGGGGCTCATCTTCTGTGAGTCTTGTGTACACACACCCGGAGCCAGAAAGGTGTAGCTTGTGCGGGCTCTGCCATGTGCAGGTAAGTTGAGTCCTGCTTCTGCTCCGCTGGGTATTGCAGTAGCTGAGCAAGTACCTTGACTACTCCAAGCCTCAGTCTCATCATCAAGGAAATGGGAGCAACCCAGCCTAGGGCCCTTGCAGGGCTGAGTTGACTGGTGCAACTACGGTCTGCACTCTGCCAAAGTGGTGTCCCTTCAGGCCACTGCTGTGTCCTCTGAGAGCAGAGGACTTCCTTGGCGCCCTTTTGAGTGGTCTGCTCCGATCTGGGGACAAAGCTGCTTGTTCTGTCCTCTGGGTGAATTCCAGTGTGAAACACAGCCTGTAATAGGCATCCAGAGAGACAGGAAAGGTGGGGAGGCCTGGAGAGGAGAGGGTCATTCAAGAATAACTGGACACCTTCCAGGGCCCTCCAAAGTGCTCTGGGACCCCTGAGGAATTCCTCCTCCATCCCAGAGGCCCATGCAGGAAGCATTTCCCAGGTGACTCGCTGTTGCCCCAGGCAACGCCTCCATCTTGAGCACCATGGAGGAGGCTGAACAACCCCAACTGTAAGCCGGGAGCTGGCAGGGCTGGAAGGGACGCAGAGGGCTTGGCCTGCGCAGGTGTGTTTCCCAGGCTGGGGAGAGGCTGGGAGGGCACAGTTGAGGTCTGGGCTGTGAGGCAGTTGCTGGTGGCTCCTAGTTCTCTGAGAGTGGGATGGGCAAGGGTGGGCTGGCTTTCCCTCCCTCTCCTCCTCCTCACCCCAGAGAAAATGACCTTACTGTGGGGCTCTTTGCTGCCTGAGCAAACACAGGGCCTCAGACCAAATATGTAGAAAGTAATGCATGGAATCCATGGTCCCAGAGGTAGGTGGTACCGGCTGACCTGAAAAAGGCAGTCTCAGGTCACCTAGCATCCAGCTCGGCCTCCCTGGAAGCTGTGTACAGTGGAGCAGCCGTATTGGCTCTCTGGTTTCCAGCATCTTCTGCTGGAAGTGGGAGGTATTTGAGCTATACCTGGTATTGGGGGGTGCTGTTAAAGAACAGCTGGTTCTCCTCCAAAGGGGTTTTGTGGGGCTGACCCTGTCCCCCGCTGAGCTCCTTCTGCAATGCAGATGCTCTTAATTGGGTGACTGTTGGCTTCAGCCACTTTTTTTTTCCTTCTTTTTTTTTTTTTTTTTTTTTTTTGGTGGTACTGGGGGTTGAACCCACAGCCTTTGCCCTAAGCTGCACCCCTAGTCCTCTGTAATTGTTACTTGCAGACAGGATCTCACTTTGTTGCCCAAGCTGGCCTTAAACGTTGCATCTCATGCCTTGGCCTCCCAGCCCACTGAGATTGCAGGGGTGCTGGTGTGGCCACATCTAAAGTGATGCCTCCTGCTGTCCCTGAGCAAGCCAACAGGAGAGGAAAGATGTGGGGAGGGGAGAACACTGTCCCACAGCAGTGCAAAGCCAGGAGACCTGACAGCCCTGTCTTTCCAGGGTTTCACGTGCCTGTCTTTGAACTTGAGGGTCCCTGAGTCGAGTTTTGCTTTATGCATTTGGGACTTGCTCCCTGGTGTCTGGCATATGGGTGGTCACAGTAGTGGCCCTGATTTTTGGGTGAGCATAGCTTTTTCAGGATTATAAGTGAAAATTAGAGCATTGTTAGCTGAGAAGACTATTTACAGGTTATGTGTTCAATTACAAAACCGGCCCCACATCGAGCACCATGACCATTTGTTTCTGAAAACGGAGTCACAGTGACTGCTCGCTGAGCACTGCTCTGAGCACAGCTCCATCCTCGGGGTTTTACATGTGTTTTTCCCCTTGCTCATGGCAGCCCTGAGAAGCGGCTGGTTATTCCAGTTTCACAGGCTCAGAGAGGCCATGGGACTTCCCCAGAGCCCCTGAGCTGAAGACAACAGACAGGAGAGTCAGACCTACATCTGCTGTGCCCTCTCAGGCCTCTGCCTGGACACCGTGGCCCAGAGACTGTGATGGAAGCCTAAGGGATCTCACAGAATGCATGCCATTATAGCTCTGTGGGAGGCTGAGGCACGAGGATCTCAAACTTGAGGCCATACTGGGCAATTTAATGAGACTCTGTCTCAAAATAAATTTTATTTTATTTTATTTTATTTTATTTTATTTATTTATTTTGGTACCCAGGGATTGAACTTGTGACCTTGTACTTGCTGGGTTGGCACTTGTGCTGCTGAGCTAAATCCCTGGCCCTCAAAATAAATTTTTTAAAAATTGAGAGAAAGATAGCTCAGGAATAGAGTACCCCCCTGGTATGCAAAAGGTCCTGAGTTCAATATCCAATACCAGCAAAACAAAACAAAACAAAACAAAAAAACACTGCATAAATGCTGAATATGAAAGGCAAGAAGCCAGCAAGGGAATGGCTGGGTTACCAGCTCCAGGCCTGAGTTCCGGGTAACTGCCTGCCGTGGCAGACATACTCTGTGCTGTTAGCAGACAAGGCTCTGTTTTCTTGTCTGATTAATGGGAGCACTGACACCGAGCTACTCACCTGCTCAGGTGAGGCCCTCAGAAAGAAACGCAAAGCCCCTGACTGTCAATGACTTCCTCCCAGATAAGGAGCACAGTGGTCACTCACAGCTACAGTTGAGGGGCTTGCTCTGAAGTTTCCCTGGGCCACGACTGCATGCAGCGATGCAAGAGTCACCTACCAACCTGTCCCAGACCCAGAGGGAGGGTTGGCACCCTTTAGGCCCTGGTTGCTGGTAGAGAGCTGCATGCTCTTACCTGCTCCTCACAAGGAGCAATTGCATACCCTTCCTTACAGCTAGGGCCCTGCCTGAAGTCTGTGAAAGGGTCCTTTGATTGAGGAGACTTTGTCCTAGAGTCCCAGAAGGCAAGTTTGCAGCACCCTGGGCTGGAGGGGAGTAGGGCAGGGGATCCCTGGGCCCCACCCTGTGTGCTACCCTGCAGAAGCCCTGCATTCATCTCTGTGGTCTCCTCCCTGAGGTCTCATGCCAACAGAGGTAAGCCCCCCAATTTGCTGTCACCTGCAGAGCCAGCCCCTGCCTCCTGGCTGAAAAGCCATCCCTAGCAGCCTGGATTAATCCACAGAATCTCTTGCTAAAGCAGACTTTATAAGTATGTTGGGCGCCACTCCCTTTTTCATGGCTGTATTTTATCTAAATTATGGCCTCCTCTTCCCTAAACAATAAAGCCAGGAAGGTTTACAGGGACGCGTCCACTGCATGCATGCGTGCATCTCCCCATTCATCTGTTCCCAGAGCTCCTCTAATCTAATGGAGGCGCTGTTGGTGGTGCTGGCCCACCTTTGGGAGGGAGGTTGTAGCTGAGCTTCTGGGGTTACTAGATTGTCCTCTCCCTCTGGCAGCCCCGGTAGCTTTAGAAGACAGGTAGATAGAGGAGTCTGATCATTGTTCCCAGGCTTCTAAAGGAGCTGCAGGGATTGTTGGTCACCTCTCCCACTAAAGTCCTTAAACCATAACCAGGGTGATTTCACAGATCAGAGGGTGACTTTATCATACTGAGCAGGATTAGTGCCTCAGACTCAAAGCCACGCCCAGGGACTCCAGTTTGGCCCCTCAACTATGTCCTCAAAGCCTCTACAGATGGTTAAGCTCTCCTTTGCTGAAGGGCTTTGGGGCCGTTTCTTTCTGGGTGGCCTTAGGCAGGAGTAAACTTGTTACTTGACATTCTCTGTATCTGCTCAGGCCACTCCTGTCCCACACACATGTCCTGATCATAGGTTCATTCAGCATTACTTGGACTCCTACTGTGAGCCAGGCTGGCCTGGGCCAAGCACTGGCATCTCCCATTACCGCTGCACTCCAAGCTGGAAACTCATGTGGGTGTAAGTTGTTTTGTTTTGTGTCATTCACAAGGAGTGGGACTGTAGCACAGATAATTCTCTGTTTCGTCAGATAATTCCGGGAGTGGTTTTGCTAACTGTTCAAGCCTATGGGCTTTGGGCCTCTGCTTGCCTCTCCAGAGGAGAGGAGAACTGGTTTGCTTTGACCGACAGGTATGGGGGGATAAGCACCAGCCCTGCTGTTTAGGCCAGGTCCCCGGCGGCAGGCAGGCAGGCAGGGTAGAGCTCTGGCAGCTCTGAATTATTTTTACAACTGGGTTGGCCTCCCTTTTGCCTTTGTGTCTTGTTCTTCCCCTTTATTAAGATGAAAGAAGTTTAGATCTTTGTAGACTGTGTGTGTGTGTGTGTGTGTGTGTGTGTGTGTGTAAGGAAGGTCCCTTCCTCTCCACCCCTCACCCCTCCCCAGTCCAGCTGAGCCCAGGCTTTGTATCAGGTACGCCTCAGCCTCAGGGACCCAGCCAGAGAGCTGTGGGAAGAACAGGCTGGGATTTGCCGAGGCCAGGATGTGGGGTAAGAGGCTGTGCGCTGGGATGCTGGGGGCTGGGGGAGGGCTGTCTCTATGGCCACAGAGATGTCTTGGGGCCCTGTCCCCCATGCCCTAGAGTCAGGTAGGGAACTCTGTGGGCTGCTCTGAGCTGCTTTTTGTTCCCATCCAGAGATCAGAAGCAAAGTGCTGCTGGGTCTTGGCAGTTCCTGGAATTCCATCCGTCCCCAGTGCCTCTGTAGAAGGGGAAGCAAGGGGCGGGGAGTTGCCCGCAGGGCTTTGTTTCCCTTTGTGTTACTCCCCCCAGCCCCTCTGGCAGCCTCCTTGCAGTTAGAGCCAGCCTCTCACCCCACAGCTGCGCAGCCAGCCCTGCCTGCCCCACTTGCCCCGCAGTGCTGGGAAGCCAGCAGAAGTACCTGGCAGGTGGAGAGGGGAAGGAAGGGGACCCGCTGTGGGAGCCCCACCAGGCCCTGCCCTGGGTTTCCCACTGCACTCCATGAGAGTCAAGGTTTCCCTTCCTAGCACCCAGTGGGTAAGACAAGGCCCACTGGAAAGGGGAAATTCTACCCCTGGAAATGCAAGCCCAAGCTGAGCCAGCATGTGTCAAGGAGTGGTTAGTGTGTGGCCTCTCCTGTTCTCCAGCTCCTAGAGTTTCAGGTGTAGAAACCTGAGGGCGGGTGCGGCTCCCTAGGAAAACACTTGCCTAGCTGCACCAGGCCTTGGGTTTGGTCCCAATGCTGAAAAACAAGAAGCAAAGTGAGGAGTGGATCTCACCGGCTGGGGTACCCTTCTATGGCAGCTCACCACAGGACAGTCGACCCCCGGCACAGGTGTGCTCCTGAATGTCAGAGGAGGAGCACATGGGGCAGAGGATTGGTGAGTTCCACGACTGCCCAAGCCATAGGGCTGCTGGCCCTCACCTCTGTACCCCAAGTTCTCATGCTAACCAAGGAGCGGAGCCCGCAAGGCACCAGCAGTTTGCAGCACTCAGAGAGGCTCCCCCCTCCTCCTGTCCCTTTCCAGAAGGAAGGTTTATCTTGGCATGTGGGAGGCAGTAAGCCTCCCGGGCAGTGGTTTCCGGGTTGAGGTTGCCATGAGAGTTCTGGCCCACTGAGATTCAAGGCCTGCGACATGGTATGGCAGCCGCATTTGACCATCTAAAGGGGCTAGTCCCCTGAGGCCAGTGGGGCCAGGCCCTAAACATCAGACCTAAAGCTTTGACTGTGTCACGTGGAAGCCAGAACCCCCAGACATGGAGAACTTGAGGCAGGGGCACTAGGGTTAGGGGAGCTAAGAGGAAGTGGTTCGGGGCTCCCTGCTGGGTTGTGAAAGTCCTGTCTCACGTGGGCAAAGGCTAGAGTGGAGGTGGCTGGGGGACTGGAGGTTCCCCAACAAAATGGGAAAGGGTATTGTTGGCTGGAAGAGAAGACTGCATTGCGCACCGAGGCTGCCAGTGCAAAGGCCCACGGACTCCCAGCATCATGGAATCTGGATCCCCTGACCACAAAACCGCTCCCTCCGCGGGCTTTAGGGCAGTGATGGCAAAACCTGTGGCACATGGGCCACAGTGAGAAGCTCTGAAAGGCTCACCGTCACAGCTCTGGAATCTTGTCTTGCTGCCTCCGGCTCCTGATGCCACCTAGCTGGGCTGGCACCCTTTCTCCCATCCTGCCCTTGGTGTCTCTGCATGAGGATGCTTGTCGTTGGATTTAGGTCCTACCTAGGGAGTCTAGCATGATCTCACCTCTGGATCCTTGATCTAAACCCATCTGCAGAGACCCTTTTTCCACACATGTTCACACGCACAGGTTTGGGTATCAGCACAGTGACACGTCTTTTGATGGCTGGCACTGACCCCTCCCCATGACTGCTGGGTTGAGATGACCTGGGGGTGATGGGTGAGAGGAAGGGGTGTGTGGCCAGGTTTCAAAGGCTGCAGCAGAGAACCTGCCTTGTCTCTTTCACCATTTTACTCACCATTCTCCTCCTTTCTCCTATGCCTAGTCTGCTGGGCCTGTGGGCCAGGCCGCCTGGATGGAGGGACATTTCCTGCCCATCTCCATCCCTGGCTCTCCACAGGAGCTGACAGAGACAGGCATGGGATGGGAAGGATGTGTCTCTCCCACCCAGAGTCCAGGATGCATCCTTCCTGTGCCTCACCTGCCCCATTACCACCACCCTGACCCTCCCCCCCCCTTGACCCTGGTCCAGAGGAGGTGATTGGCCTCCCTCCCTATTCCCAGAAGGCTTTTAGTGGTGTGCCTGGGCACTTCCTGTGAGTCCAGCCATTGTCCACACATAAGGCAGAGGGGTAGAACTGTTCCCCCGGCTTGCTGGGCATGTGGAGTGGGCTTTCCTCTCTTCTTTGTCTCTGTGTCACCCTGACCAGGGTCCAGTCTTGCCCTCTAGGTCCTCCTGAGCTCAGGATTCCACCCAGGCAATCTGAGGTCTACTCTAGCTTAGGGAGACCAGGGGCTCTGGTTCTTCTGTGCTTGGGACCAGAGACCACACAGAGCTTCCGTTTCCCCTCCCATCCCTGGGGGATCTGTGGGGAGGGGAGGAGAGGAGAGGGAGTCATTCCTCATAGTTTGATTCTTCCTCCCAGTTTGGAATGGGGTCAGGCCTGGGCCTGGGGAAAGGTCCCTCTAGTAGAGCAGGAGTGAGGAGAGTAGGGGCAGGCCAGCACCTCCAGGGGGTTGGGAGAAGCAGGCAGGGGACAGGAGGCTGCAGCACAAGTGAGGGACCGCAGCCCAGGTGGCCCATTACATCTTACTGGCCTCACATGGCCTTGAAAGAGTTTTTGTAATAGCAGCTAACACTTTAAAATTGGAGGATTTTGAAACCCAGATTACTAGCTTCTCCAGGGGGGAAAAGATCTTGCCACACTGGGTACAACGGGTGTGGGGTGTGACAGCTCCCCTCTGGCCCGGACAGCCATAACCTCCTCACCTATGTGTGGCACAGACTGGCCTGTCTTCCCCAGGGGCTGCTCCACTGAGGCACTTGGTTTCTTGACCTCTGACTCCAGGGAGAGTGACCGGAAGAGGGGACAGGACAAGCCCAAGGGGAGGGAGAGGAGGCTGGGACAGGGATGCAGGTCCAAGGAGGCTGAGCAGAAAGGGCCAGAGCCGGGCCTTCTCACCTCCTTCCGCAGTTATGCTTGTTGGTTCTCTTCCTTCCTTTTTCTTACTTCCTCTCCTGCCTGCCCTCCATTTCTGCCTGCCCCCATCCCCGTGCAGGGTACAGGTGAAAAGGGGCCACACTCCTAGGCCCCCGGAGGGAATGGCGCCCATGATGGCAAGTGATGTCCTCAGAATTGCTGCCCTGAGCCCCAGCGCCTGCCGGGTCCTCACTGTCCAGAGCCTTAAGGAGGGAATCCGTGGAGACAGGTCACTGCCCCGTCTGCCTGGGTATCTCCTCCGGACTGCCTGCCGTGTTGGTTCTCACTGAGACACGGGGGCTGCAGTGCAGCCCCTGCCTGGCACCCACAGCCTGCAGCACGGTCAGCTTCAGGGCTTCGCAGGGCCTGTGGGTTGGACGGAAGGTAGGAGCTGGCTTCTACAGGGGAGGCATAGGATGGACTGGGAAGCTGGCTGGATGGGAGAGAACCTCAGCAGGGCTCAGGCCAAACCTAGCTTCTGCATTCAGCCTGTCCTCTCACAGCCCTGTGTCTCCAGGGCCTAGGAAGCCTGGGGACAACCATGCTGGGTGATCTGATGGGCACCACTGTTGCCAGGAGGTGCCCCGGGCAGCGAGAGCTCACAGGGCTCACTCAGTTCCTGTTAGCCTGCTGTGGGGATGAGGTGCAGGGAACAAGAGGCAGTGGCAGACTCAGCCCAGTGGTTTGTAAAACCAACATCCTGTGTGCTCCTGGGTCAGGCATTGTGCCTCTTCTGGATTCAGCTTCCATCTTAAATTGGACAGATTAATTCAGCTCTTAATTCTTTCTTGATCTGTGGTTTTATTTTCCCCAAACAACTGTGTGCCTCACTGGGTGGCATGGGAAACACACAAGCCCAGGCATGTGGCAGGGTCCAACCCAGACTCATGACAGTTAGGTTCTCCCTCGACTCTTCCCCTAGAAGAGCCAGAACCTCGAGCCTGGGAGAGGGACCCAAGTCAGCCCAACCAGCCTAGGCCCAAAGGTCCTCTTCTGTTGCCAACCACCTGCTGTGCTCCAGTTCAGAAAGGAAACCATTAGCCGTTCCTTTCAGCTATGAAAGTGACATGAGAGCTTTTGCTGCTGTAGTTAGCAGTGCTACAGCAGACTGGCTGAGCTGGGGCAAGCCCTGGGCAGGCCCCAAGACGCACTGCTGTGGGCCAACAGGAGCCCCGGCCACCTTCTTCCCAGCCCAGGGATCCCTGCTTGGGAACCTGGCTTGGGAACCGGTAGTCTTCAGACATGAGAAGGCACTAGAAGAGCCCGGGGATCTTGCCTTGGAGTTTCTGCTCCACTGGCCTGGGTGCACCTGAAAACATGCATTTCTAACCTTGCTGTTAGTGCAAGTGCATTCATAACCGCTGTCTTGGAGGGATATGGGGCCATTGAGTGCCCCTATGGCCCAGGCAGGAGTCAGCTGGTGATAGGGCAGAAGGGGTAGGGCAAACAGGTGTGGGACTGGACAGACTCCTTGTAAGGATCTGTCTGGGGGTGTTTGGAGCCCTAGCTCATTTGCCTTGCATGCATTGGCACTTCTGCTCTGTGATGGGACTTTGTGCCTCTCTCCCTCTCTCCCTCTCTCCCTCTCTCCCTCTCTCCCTCTCTCTCTCTCTCTCTCCCTCTCTCTCTTCCTCTCTCTCTCTCTCTCTCTCCCTCTCTCTCTTCCTCTCTCTCTCTCTCTCTCTTCCTCTCTCTCTCTCTCTCTCTCACACACACACACACACACACACACCATGGTTCTTGCTGCCAGGAGTCTGCCACACCCATCACAGAGCCCTCAGGGGACTCCTGGGGCCCTGTTGCTGCCCCCCACTGCAGAGCACCTGTACTTGGCAGGTGGAAGAGACGGACAGGGCCTGGATTTCAGACAGCTGTGACTTCTCTAGTCATGTGGCTAGAAAAAGACCTCGTTCCCTGGTGTTAGTTAACCCATCTGTGAAACAAGGACCATAGCCCACTTCTTGGAAAGTGACAGTGGTCACTGTAGGAAATGCCCAGCACGTCCTTGGGAGGACTTCAGAAGTGGACATTGTGGCCACTAAACAGCTCTTAGGAAGTGTCTGTTGGATGAAGCCATTCTGGGGAGTTCTCAGGGCACCTGGCAAAGAGATACCTGGGATTTTCCTTTTGGGCTTCTGATCAGCCTCAGTGATGGTCTGCTTAGGCATGGGCCACCACCTACAGCCCTCTGTCTGTCCTGGCCCTGCTACCCTGTGACCTGGCCCTTTGCCAGGCCAAGTTTAGCTGTGAACTACTTGAGCCACCCTCTCTGTGGGTGAGAGGAATTTAGGAGGCTTCCTGTCAACTTCCTGCTAGGCAGACAAAAGCCCGCCAGATGACCCAGGGTTATTCTTAAAGCCAATCCATCAACTAGAATCACTGGCTGTGGGGGCAGCCTCCTGTAGATGAGAGCTTGGGAGTAGGCATTCTTGCAGTGGGGAACAGGGGCCTCTGGAGAGGCAGCATTTGCATGCACGTGCGTGCGTTTGTGGAGTATTTAGAGAGGGCCCCCCAGCTATACCTGTCCTAGCCCCAGGACTCCAGATGCCAGAACTCCAGGCCTCCTATTCTGACCTGGGCTCTCCAGGCTTGTGTTAGGATGGCTTGCTTTGGGAAGAGAAGATAGCAGAGGCCTCAGACTCAGGCTGTGTGTTGGACCCCGAGCAGCCTCAGTTGCATCCTTACGGACCACAGTCCAGCTGGCTGCCCATTCCTTGCTTATCCCTCGGCTCCTTCCAAACCGACTTCCTCGACTTTCTCCTGTCACCCATTTCCTGCCCCATGGAGACCCTGACGTGCTTCAGCACTGCATCACCTGTGAACCTGAATTGGTCTCTACCTGGACTCCGCTGAGGCTGGGCCTCCCTCCACCGCCCCTTTCAGATTCTGCTTGGTTCACTGTGCCCACAGTGGAGCTGTCTGAGTCACATCTGAGAGGCAGCTGACCGGCAGCCTCATCTTGTCTACTGGGGACAGCCTCCTGGGACATCCTTACCTGTTGGCAAATCCCCGCTGCTAGGCACCATCAGGACAAGTATTTCATATTGCAAATTCAAGGTCAAAGGCTCAAGCTAAAGAGAAAAAACCTCCTAACCAGAAGCTCGTATAGGCCAGCGTTGCTGGGTGGACATTGAGAGAAGAAGCCCTCTGTCTTCTCTTTGATGTTCTACAGCAACCTTCAAGACCTTCCTCATATGCATTAGGCTATTTGCTCTCTTTGCTGAAGCCCAAGGCAGGAAGGGCAAGTGGAAAAGAGCAGGTTGTAAATCCCCCAAAGTTCTAGAAGGAGGAGAAAATGTAATGTAGGGTTTCAATGAAGTACACCCTTATCTGATGGGAATACTTCCAAGACCACCTGTGCCTGAAACCACAGATTGTATTATATCCTACATATGTAGTGTTTCCCCATATATGCATAAACAAATGTAATGGTTTTTTCCATCTTAACCTAGCTTCTGTTTATCACACACCATGGCCATAAGTTTTGCCATTTGAGATGTGATAGCAAAACCAAAGTGCATTTCTTCTTCCTGCATCACAGTTTCAGGGACTGAAGATTCATCCTTACTATAGATCTTCACAGCCTTGATATGTGGTCTCCTTTAACTTCAGGTGGTTTTTTTGTTGTTGTTGCTCTATTTTTTGTTATGGGGATGGAACTCACAACCTCAGGCAGGTGCTTATGCCACTGAGCTAATCCCCCCAGCACTAATTTCAGAACTTGTATCTTTTCACTGAAAGGAAGCACTTCACTGCTTCATTTTAGCAGATCTACACCGCCAGCATTACTACTGTTGCACTTTGGAGCCATTATTAAGTAAAGTCAGGATTACTTGCCCACAAGCACTGTAATACGACAATATTCCATCTGATGGGGACTCCTGGGAGGGTAACATAATACAAAGCGGATATTCTGGGGAAATGCATGGCTCATATCCTGGGTAGGGAAGAGTAGAATAGCATGACATTTCAACACACTACTCAGCATGAGTGCAGTTTAAAGCTTATAAGTGGTTTATTTCTAGAAATTGCATTTACTATTTTCAGAGCACAGTCTGCTATGGGTAGATGAAACGTTTGACCGTGGAACTGTGAAAGGGAGTGGGAGGATACTCTGCTATCAAACAATACTTTCCAGATTTTTGTGGATGTTAAAATACAGATTCTGATTCAGTAGGTCTAGACCTGAGCTGGGATCCTGTGTTTCTGACAGGTTCCCAGGAGCTATTGCAGCCTATGGTCCGCGAATCACAATCTGAACTGTAAAGGTTGCAGTGGGTTAGCACTTCCCCAGGTCACTGGAAGCCTAAAGATCCATTTGTCCTGGGAAATGGAGTGCTTTCTTTCACAATTAATCAAATTTAAAGCGTGCTATCCTACCAGGGAAACAAGGGACATCATTAATACCCTGATCTTGGGGGACATCATCACTTTACTCTTGGGGCAGGAAGCTTGGACTCTAAGAGGAGTTTAAGATGTCAGACACCCACAGTACTCAGTGTCAGGGCTTTGGAACCTCTCATGCTTAACCAGCAGCTCTCACTGCATTGCAGGAAGACGCAGCTACTTGATGGGATTCACTGGGGTAGAATACCATGTTTGACTTTGCTATTTTGATTTGCATGGAGGAAAAACAACTGAAACTGACTTAAAGAACAAGAATTTCTTTATGGACTCCTATGGCTGTAAAAGCCCAGAAATAAAGGCTTCCTGCACAGCTCAGTCTAAGGGCCTGCGTTCCTATGTGCTGTTGTCTTTCCAGGCAGGTCCTCCTCCCCAGTGGCTGGAGAGCCACCAGCACTACAGGTGCCATCCTGTCTGCCTTGCATTGGCTCAGGTTCAGTCATACGTTCATCATAATCAGTCTCTGGCTACAGCTGGGGCTGGATTTGTGGAGAGCTCTGATTGTCGTGGGCCTGTGTTACACGCTCTCTCAGGAGCTAAGTGGGAGGTTTATCCATACCTCAGCCATAAGGACAAGAAAGAAAAAAGGGTAACCCCAGGTCAGCAGGGCCTGCCAGCAGAAGTGGCACGTGCTGGCAGACCGTCCGAGGTATCCACGGGTGTAGGCCTTGGGTCCTTCCTCGGGTCAGACCTGGACACGGGAAGTGATTGTAGTGGGCAGCTGGAGGCTGAGTCGGGGAAGAACCAAGACAGTCACAGCTCCGTGGAGCAGAGGCTGGTGTGGGGGTGCAAGGAAACATGGTGTTGAGGGATGCGTGGTATAACCTGCAGTCTGTCTTTTCCCAGGAAAGCTATGGCGGTGACCATGGCATTCTTCCGGGTGTGTCTGGTGGTGGTGACAGCCATCGTCAACCACCCGCTGTTGTTCCCAAGGGAAAACACCACTGTCCCTGAGAACGAGGAGGAGATCATCCGCAAGATGCAGGCCCACCAGGAAAAGCTGCAGCTGGAGCAGCTTCGCCTGGAGGAGGAAGTGGCACGGCTGGCAGCTGAGAAGGAGGCTGAGGAGCAGGTGGCAGAGGAGGATCAGCAGCAGACTGAGGCCTACAACGCCTGGGACCTCTGGAGTACTCTCTGCATGATCCTGTTCCTTATCATAGAGGTGTGGCGGCAGGACCACCAGGATATGCCCTTACTTGAGTGCCCCGGCGGGGATGAAGATGAATTGCCAGGGCTGGGCGGTGCCCCACTTCGGGGCCTCGCCCTGCCCAGTAAGGCCACGCTCAGCCGCTTTTATGACCACTGCATCCGGGCCGCCACTGTGGATGCTGCCCGCACCAGGGAGTTCGTGGAAGGCTTCGTGGACGACCTGCTAGAAGCCCTGCGGAGCCTCTGCAACAGAGACACAGACATGGAGGTGGAGGACTTCATTGGCGTGGACAGCATGTACGAGAACTGGCAGGCAGACCGTCCACTGCAGTGCCGCCTCTTCGTGCCCTTCACCCCCCCTGAGCCCTACCGCTTCCACCCAGAGCTCTGGTGCTGCGGCCGCCCTGTGACCCTGGACCGCCAGGGCTATGGCCAGGTCAAGGTGGGCCAGGCTGGAGGGGATGCATTGGGCTGTATCTGTGGCAAGACCAAGCTCGGGGAAGATATGCTGTGTCTGCTCCATGGCCGGAGCACCGGGGCGCGGCCCAGCTTCGAAATGGAGAATCTGCTGTGTGCTCGAGAGTCCCCATACCTAGATGCCATGCAGGTCATGAAATGGTTCCAGACAGCCCTCACCAGAGCCTGGCACCGTATCGCCCACAAGTACGAGTTTGACCTGGCTTTTGATGAGCTGGACTCGCCGGGGTCCCTCAAGATCAAGTTCCGCTCGGGGAAGAGCATGCCCTTCAATCTGATGCCTGTGATCCAGTGTGATGACTCAGATCTGTACTTTGTCTCCCACCTATCCGGGGAGCCCTCTGTGGGTGGCCCGGCCTCCAGTACCGACTGGCTCCTGTCCTTTGCAGTCTATGAGCGGCAGTTCCTCAGGATGACATCTAAGACGCTGCCCGAGGGTGCCTGCCACCTCAGCTGCTTGCAGATAGCCTCCTTCCTGCTCTCCAAGCAGCGCCGCCTGACGGGCCCCAGCGGGCTGGGCCGCTACCACCTGAAGACAGCCCTGCTGCACCTCCTGCTCCTGCGGCGGCCAGCTGCCTGGAAGGCCGAGCAGCTGGACGCGCGCCTGCACGAGCTGCTGCACTTCCTAGAGAAGAGCCTGCTCGAGAAAAAGCTCCATCACTTCTTCGTAGGTAACCGCAAGGTGTCCGAGGCCATGGGGCTTCCAGAGGCGGTGCGAGGGGCCGAGCCTCTCAACCTCTTCCGGCCCTTCGTCCTGCAGCGAAGTCTCTACCAGAAGACAGTAGACTCCTTCTATGAGATGCTGAAGAACGCCCCGACGCTCATCAGGGAGTACTCCCTCCACGTCCCCTCTGACCATGCCAGCCTGCCCCCTAAAACTGCCTTGTAGAGCATGTGGGACCTGAGGCCCAGGAAGGAGGGCATCCTACACAACCACCCCACTGGGGCTCTACAGCCCCTTTCTTGGTGGGGAGCAGAGAGGCTCTGCCTACCGGGAAGGCGGGACCTACAGAGCAGAGGCCGGAATTCCCACTGGATGTGGGCTTGCTTTCCTGACCGAGGGCTCTGGCGTAGGTAGGCTGGTGTGGAGCTGGAGGCCTGGTTTTTGGATCACCACACATGGCCAAGACAGTGACAAGGCGCTCAGTGGACACCGAGTTGGAGAGAATGACACCTCCGATTTAGATGTAATCCTTTTGCATCCCAGGTCTAATCTGTGCTTCATATCAACAGTAAATCTATGGAGATGCTGCTGCCAGGGACCCTATGCTATGACCCAGAAGCCTGCTCCCAGGGATCCTGGGCCCCAGCTGTCGGTAGCCAGAGCACAAATAGTGGCAGCTGTGGGAATTCATGGCTTTTGACCACACTCTGCACAGCAGTGGAGGTTGCATGGTGGTGGCACTTTCTTATGCTGTTTGGGGAGATGAGCCAGTAGATTCGAGGCCCCAAGTGGCTAATGTGCATTTGCAGGTGGAGTGTATAGTGCTGGCCATGGCCTCTCAGGTGCACCCCTGCCTTTCTCTGCCTCTTGGTTACTGTGCCAGGTACAGTTTCCATGGTGGGTGCCAGCTCAGTGCCTTGCCTCTCTGTTCTCTCGACAGCTGGTCCCTGCCATCAGTGTGATAGGAGGAAGGCATGGGCAGGTAGTGAGAACTGAACTAGAGAAGGAGAACTGGTAACTGTGGCAGGGGACAGTGCCCAGACCCCAGCTCCGGCTTGCAGTCTGTGCCAGTCCGGAAAAGGTTGCAAAGCCCAGGCTTGAGGACCAGCTGCCATGTATGAGTTGTCCTCAGGGTCCCTGACCTAGGGGAGGCCAGGCTGAGAAGCTAGAGCTGCAGTAGAAGCAACTCACTGGCCCAAAGCCACTGTCCCTATTACTCACTTAAGGGGACCTGCTCACTGCACTGCCCTCCCCCTCTATGTGGGCCCTGCCTGCCCTGCAGATGGTTTAGACCTGGAGGTCCCACTGGGGACTGGAGGCCCTCGGCAGGCCCAGAGCCTGGTACTCCTTATTCTCCAGCGGGACTTCACTGGTCCTCTGGGATTTCCTCTGAGCACCTGCCTGGAGATCCTCACGCAAGGTGAGAGCAAGAGAGGAGGAGGGATAAAGCTGTGCACCCCAGACAGCAGCTCCACCCGAAGGAAGGAGTTTCTCCCTAATACGAGGCATACGCTCACCTAGTGTCAGAGGGCCCAGAAGACAGGGCTGTCCACTGCTGGGGAGGTCACAGTAGGAGGGCCGGCTGCAGTCAGGGTTGGTCCTGCAGGAGCCTCTGAGGTGAGCAGGAATGTCTGCCCCTCCCCAGGCTCACACCTACTTTCCCTAGCCCTCTTCCTGCGTGGGCATGGCTCCTTATTTATTGTCACCTGTGCCTCTGCCCTTTGCTCCCTTCTCCTGTTGCACCTGTAGCAAACCCGGCAACCAAGACCCAACCTGCCGAAGCTGAGATGGAGTATGGGTCCCCCTAGGTTTCCCCTTGGCTTCCAGAGAATGTTCCTCAGAACGATACCTCTGTGCTCCTGGCCAGACACAGCTTGTGGGGAACAGGGCTATTAGGCCTGCTTGGGAAGCAGAAAGCAGCGGGGCTGTGGGTATTCCAATCTGCCTTATTTATATTAAAGGAAAAACAAAACTCTCAAAAGGAACAGAGCAGTTTGTTTTTAACATGAGGAAATCTATAGGGCTGCCAGGGCAGAGTTGGGGGCAGGGGTGGATTTCCTATTGACACACAGTAGCTTTCACTCCTTTTTTATTCTCACACTTTGAGGAAACTTCTAAAAATAACAGAACCAACCCTGTCCATCTTCAAGGCAGCTACGCACTGCCCAGGTTCCAGCAGGGCCTCTGAAGGCCGCCTCAGGGCAGGTCCACAGACCTTACTTCCCAGAGCCCATGCCAGTGCTAGAAGCAGCAGGATACATTTGGTATCTGAGGAAAGAGACTGGCCTCTAACTAGGGGGCCTCAGCCCTCCAGAACACGCAGCCGTTCCACGCAGGACACTGCCCTCTCCTCCTCTCCAAGGGCTCATTTTCTCCCCAGATGCTGGACTATGCTGGCATCTGCCCACTAACCCTGAAGAAGGCTCCAGGACTGCATTCGCTGCCCCCCCCCCCACTTGACTGGGAGGGGGGTGACTTCAGAGGATCAGGCCTATACCCAGAAGGTATTTGGGTTAGCAGAGGGCACCATAACTTCAGAAGTTCCAGACCCTCTGCATTAGTCAGCTTTTCATTACTGTAATGAAATACCAAGGGAGGATGCTTCATAAGAAGAGAGGATTATTTAGCTCACAGATTTGGAGACTCCAACCTGAAAACTGTTGAGCTACTGGTGAGGGAGGTGCATAGAGTCACGTCCTGGTGGAAACTTGCGTGGAAGTGAGCACATCCTCAGTCAAGGGGGTAGAGCTTGGTGGGGCCAGCCTGAGAATTTTATAACCCTCTCTTGGGAACTAACTGGTCTCATGAGAGACCTTATTAACCCCTTTACGAGGCACAGCTCAGTGGGCCTGGCGTCCACTGGGCCCTACCTGTTCAAGGTTCCACTGCCTTCTCAAACCATCACACCAGGCCCAATTTCCAACGTGCCAATCTCTGGAGAGCACACAGCATTCAAACCGTAGCTGCTCCCTCGTGCCGTGCATCGCCCCCATGGGAATCTGGAACTAATGAGCAGCAAAGGCTTATCCTCAAGGATGTCATCCGGTCCCCAGAGAGCTTGGTTATTTCCCCAGATGCTGCCTTGAACCTGCATGTCCCCGGAATCCACTGTGAAGTGGCCAGGTGAGCTCTATGTTTAAAGCCTCCCCCAGTGGCTTCCACAGAATGAAGAAGTGTTCTCATTTCCTTTCCAAATGGAAAACTCAAGAAAAGCCAGGGGTCTGCTTTTCCTACAGAGCTGCAAGAAGCTGGCCCTGGGAGAGGCTAGGGGAGCCTACAGCAGCTGTGTGGTCCATCACCTAGGGGGAACTATTGGTTACCTTCCAAGTACTCACCTGAGAAAAGCACCACCAGAAAGGCCAGAGCACTGCCATGGATTCCAAGTAGACCAGCCAAACACATTTCCCCACCTGTGACCCGCCCATTACCCCTGTCACCGCAGGCCACGCTGGAGGCAGTGTGCAGGATGTAGCAATTGGGCCTAGGAACCTGCTGGAGCCACTGATAGCAGGGATGACAAGGGTCAGCCTCATGGGGACGCACCACCTAGCACAAGAAGCATTGCAGCCAGCACTGAGTGACACGGGAGCAGCTTGCATCAGCCCCACATGTACCTGTGTCACGCCCACCTGTTCTTGCAAGTTCATGCCAAAGCTTAGGCAGGTACCACTGTCTTCCCTATTCCTAGATGAGGAGAGTAGCACCCTGAGGGGTTAGGGGACTTGTCTACGATCACATGGGTGTAAGCAGCAGTCAGGATTCCAACTGGGCAGTGCCACCACATATGTGACCAAAACATGGTAATTTTTTAAAAATTTTTTTAAAAGCGTAAAAGGCATTGATTTTAGTTGCCCTCAAACTATTGCCCTGCCTCCGCACCCCAGGCGCTGCACACTTACCCTGTGGTCCTGGAAGTCCTGGAAGTTCATGAGTGTCTGCACAAGGCGAGACCAAACGGACAGAGCGCACTGAGGCTGAGTGCCACTGGGCAGAAAGGTGGCCCCACCCAACACGCCCTCCTCCTGGAGCTGAGCGGTGCACTTCCCACTTCTGGCTCTTCCTAACGTCAGACTGACTGCGAGAGGGGGATTTTTGGAACCAGTTTAAGGGCACTGAGGCACAGCCACGGTAGCACAACAGAAGATGCAAAGAGGATTTCAGAACTGCTTCAGAAGGCAGCAAGAGTAAGAGGAGAGCCAGCATGGGGGTGCACCCCTGTAATCCCAGCAGCCCAAGGGCTGAGGCAGGAGGATCGCTGCAAGTGAGCCTAGCCTGAGCTACAAAATGAGTTCAAGGCCAGCCTGCATCGCAAAGCAAGATCCTGGCTCAAAAAGATAACACACACACACACACACACACACACACACACAAAATGAGATCTTTAGTTTTTTTTAAAAAAATAAAAACCACAAAAAAATGTAACCACTGACAGAAGTCAAGTGAGATAAAAGCTCCCAATCCTGAGTGCTGAGTCTGCTTCCCAGAGAGAAGAGTGTTCCGTCTGTTGTGCATCCTTGAAGGTTTTCCGTGTGTGGTGTGTGTGCCGTGTCTGTGAGTGCCTCCTGTTTTGTTTTATATTTACACAGAGGGCATCTCAGCATCAAGCTTTCTGGGGACGTCATCCTGAACATCCTTTAAGACAGCTGCTCACTGCCTCACCCAGCGCCTGCAGCTGTGCACTTTCCTGGCCTCCCCAACCGGGGACATTTTCACCTCCATCTCTTTGTCATTACAGCACTGCCCTGGACATCTGCCTACACAGACTGTAAAGCAGCCCTTCCTCTCCTGTGGTCACCGCACTCTGTGCTTGGTGACGTGCTGCATGGGGCGTGACCACATCTCATCCAAAGGAATCGAGACCAAGGGTTTATTTAGTCACAACTCCAGAGTAAGGAAAAGGCATTCAACCAATGTGAGCAACCAATGTGCTCGGCTACTCCCGGGCTGCTGTCTGTCTTTGGATCAGGCACTGCATGGAGAAGGCCTGTGTAAGGCAGGGGCTCTGTACTCAGGGAGCTGGTTCTGTTAGGCAGACAAGACCATCGTCTGCAGAGCAGTGAGAGACCCATGAAATATGGCAACTGAGGGGCTGGGGGTTTAGCTCAGCGGCATAAGCACCTGCCTTGCAAGCAGGCGGTCGTGAGTTCGATCCCCGGTACCGATAAAAATGAAAAAAAAAAAAAAAAGACCAAAAAGAAATATGGCAACTGAAAGGGACTTGCACGGCTCTGAGCTCTGCCAGTGTGGGGGCAGCGTGAGAACAGCCCCGTGAGCCTGAGTGCGAGCTCCTTGACCATTTTTCTCCCTAACACCTGTACAAACGTGGAACACCTCCCCCTCAAAATCCCTCATGCACAGCACTGCACTGAGCCTGGGGCTGGTTTCCTTCCTCTTGCACAAGGCAAGGCCTTGCTTTCTAGGTGACCATAGCAGCTCTACTGTCCTCTGTAGTCCCACAAAAAGACCAGAAAATGAACTCTGTCAGCCTCAGATCATCTCTTCCAGCAGATGGAACCACACAAACCGCAGAGATGTTCAAAAGCATCTCTTCTTTTCTCCACGGGAAGAAGGTAGGTTTCAAAAGTACAAAGTGAAATTTGCAGTGCAGGGTTAGGGAAGTGGGAGAAGTTTGGTTCTGTCTGTTTCTTTAAAACCATTGGTCAGTGAGATGTTTTGGTTTTTCTTGGGTAACTATTTAAAATAGAAAGCAGAGACTCACTTCCTGTTTCCTCTCTCATGGGTCACACGGGCTGCATTCCTAACCAGCCAGGCCCTACTGCTCCAGACCCCCACGGCCTCATCTGTCTCCTCCCAGGAACCGAGAGTCAAAGTTCTCCTGCGAGAGTGGGAGACCCCTAAGGACTGCAGTGGGCCTGGCCTTCCACAGGCCCCAGCAGTCTGGAGGCTGCAGGTCGGGCCCCAAGACCTCCCAGCCAGTGGGAGGGACAGTGGCAGGGACACTGCCCTGTATACTCCACCCCTGCGTTTGGCCAAGCCAAAGCACTGCAGGTCCCCAAGGCTTCTTGGCTTAGGCCCGCCCCTCAGTGCCTGGAGCTCTGCCGAGCTGTACTAAGAAGCCCTCTCCACAGAGGAGTCTCCTTCTTGTGGCATTTGATAATCTGGCTGCAGAGGAACAAACTCCACGCATCCCAGACATGCACTGGAGAGGCCAAGAAGCAAAATGGCTCAACTGAGCACTTAGTGACCCAGAGAGAATCGAGGAAGAGCAGGCCATCTACACCACCCCACTGTGGCCCCTGGATGTGGAGCCCCTCACAATAGACCTGTCCACTAGGCACCCAGACACCTCCCAACAAGATGAGCTTGGGCTGTGTTCAGATCCCACCAGTGTCACGCCTAGCCTGGCAGGTCTCTTCATTCCTGTGGTCCTCACAGGACACTATCACCATACTGCCAGGTGGGTTCCTGGAGGGCAGCAAGGAGAGGGAGCTGTGACAGCTAGCAGGGCCTGAGTACATCCATGCCTTCACCATCCATCCCACCTTATTCACAAAACACACATCAGCTGGCCATCACCGCTAAATATTCCATACAGCAGGCTAGGGCACGGTCTGGCCAGAGCGGGTTCCCAGGCCAGGGGAAGCAGAGAGGGAGGTCAGGAAGGCAGGTGGAGCAGTGCAGGCTTGAGGCCCTGCAGTCAGCGCCTGCCCAGCTCTGCACATCACCGCCCCTGGGACATCTGTGTTTCCTTCCTGAAAAGGAAACACTGTAAGAAAAAAATCGTTCTTTTTGAAACTTTGTTCTTTTTAAAACTGCTTAGCTCTGAAACTGTTTCAGGGCTCTGTAATTGCTTTCTTGAACTCTGTAACCACAAGAGCTTAACCGAACATGCAAGGTGTCTGACTGTAACAAACTCCCAGATCTTTAATCCAGCCTTGTAACCGATGATCTCACCCTGCGAGCTAATCAGAGACCTGCCAGGCTGTCCCGAGTCGCCTTTGTGCCTCCTGCTCATATAGAAGTGCCAGCCCACAGCACTCGTGGCTGGCTCTGTTGTTGAGTGACCCAGCCAGGATCACCGATGTAAAATAAAGCTGTTCATGGCCTCTGCACTTCTTGGATGTCGTTCCTTATCCAGACTTAGTGTGGCCACAACATTACATCACCCTGAGGCCTCAGTTTGTTCATCTTTAACATGGGAGTGACTCAGGCTGCCTCCCAAGGCTGTGAGGGACTGTATGTAGCCAGGTGTGGTGGTACAGGCCTGTAATCCCAGTACTCTTGGGAGGTCGAGGCAGGAGGATTGCAAATTGGAGCCCAGCCAGGGCAACTGATTTAACAAGATCCTGCCTCGAAAAAGCAAAAACAAACAATAACAACCGAAAATGACTGGGGACACACATCAGCACGAAGGCCCTGAGGTCTGTCCCAGGTAGGGAAAAAAAATTCCAGTCATAAACCTAAGCAGGCTAGGACAAACTGCAGGAGGGGGCGAGGTTTGGCTCTCACCACAGAGCAGCCTGGCCCCCTCCGTCGAGGAGGCTGCGACACTGACAGAGAACACACGGACAGAGTGGTGGAGGGCTGGAAGAGAGCGATTAAGGGGAGCCCATCCCCAACACCAGCCACAGGCAGGCAGTCCCTGTGACTTGGTTTACACCAAGCTCTCAGTAAGCCTCATTCCTGATTCTGTTGTCCGAGATCAGAGAACCTGAGAGCCAGGGGGAATTTCAAGAATTTTAGTCACTGTCTCTACTGCCATCATCAGCGACTTGCCTGGCCCCAAATCCCCTCCCCACCCTCCCCTGTGCAGATAGAACTGGACTCTAGCCAGGCTGGGCTTGGCGCAGAGCCTCTAGGAAGGGCAGCCCACGCCTGCAGTAAGGAGTCTCTGAAGCGCAGCGATTTCAACTCATTTTCTCCCTTTTCAGTCTGTAGGAGAAGCTGCTTCTGCCCTGTCCCGAGGTTTAAAATGCTTCCTATGAGACAGACACCAGCATTGAAAGTCATCTCTGCCACACAGATCATAGCCGATTTCCTGTTTTTATATTAGTGTGTTTTAATCTAAGGTCTTATTTCACCCGGTCTCCCAATGAGAACTCTCTGCGGAGCATTGCTTACTTGCTTCTCCCTTTTTCCTGTAGACTCAGTTTCATCCAGAAGTCAATGACTCAGTTTCCTCTGTGGGTCAGGCAGGCGGCATAAAGAAGTAGGGCGGACAGTCAGGCATGGAGGGCATGTCTGCAATCCCAGCACTCTGGGAGGCTGAGGCAAGAGGATCATAAATTCAAGCACAGTCTGTGTGACTTAGTGGTTCAGTGAGACTGTCTAAAAATAAATTTAAAAGTGGAGAGGCAGGAGAGAAGCTCAGTATAAAAGCCTTGCGCTCAATAACAACAACAACAACAATACAATGAGGGATGAGGTCACTGCAGTGCAAGTGACCAGGACCCTGGCCACCTGCAGAGAACACCTGCCCAAATGGCATTTAGACCCCAAACCATGCCTCAGACCACCAACCTGTACTCTTTTTCTATGAGTACATTTTTCCATCCTCCACCCTCCTTTGTACTTATTTCTAAATAAGTATGCAGAGCCCCAAAAGACAATGCTTGTACTTCAGGGTCCCCAAGACATGCCCTTTTCTGTCCCATCAGCAGCACCCTGGGTTCCACACTGAACACTCTCAAGCATCCAGGTTTTATACCTGTAAGGTTGGGTCTGTCCCTTAAGTTCTAGGACAGGCCGCCAGAGACGACCTCTTCTTCCCAAGCAATGCCAGGGAAACAGTGATTCACATGCTTCACTCCACTTAGGTGCCATGGCAACAGATGCCACATCCAGAGCAGATGGTACTGCAGACTGCCCATCACATAGTGCCGCTCTGGAAGGCCGAACTGCCTCACTAAGCAGACTCTATCCAGCTGGCAGCGAGTGACACCTGGTAATATTTACACAGGGCAAACACAGGAAAGCCAACAGGCCACGAGGGCCTGGCTGAGACAGAAGCAGGGCCAGCCCTCGGTGCACCAGAGCAAGGCTGGACATCACCCTTGCTGCTGCCTGGGCTCAGCACAGCTGAGAGATCAGGGGAATTCAGAGCCAACAAAGTCACAGTTGTGGCAGGCTGATCTCAAGACACCATGCAGAGCAGCAGCAGACTCCCCCTCCTCTAGCAGAGCGATGGAAGCTCTCTGGCCAGCTTGGCCCTTCCTTGTCCCCTTTGCTGTCTTCAGGGTATGACTGCCTAGTCAGAGCCAGGGCAGGCACTGCCACAGGCCAAGCGGCTCGAAAGCACTGGGTTTAAAACCTCAACAAGATGAAGGAAAGAGGAGGGGCTCGTGTCTTTGTCAACTGCAGCCCTTCTGGCCCCAGCTCTGGTACCCAGCACACTTCTGTGGGGTGAACTGGAAGAGTATGCGATACAGATCCAGCAGCCTGACCTTTGCCTTGCTGGGGTACGTGTGTTTTTTAAAGGCAGGATGCGGGTGACAGGACATTTAGTGAGATATCCTGAGCTGTGACGGTAACAGTGAAATTCTGACGTGGTTAGTCCAGGGTGATAATGGGTGTTTCACTTCCTGCTTTAGAATATTTTCCAGTCACAAGACCCTGGGTGTCTCCCAGGCCCACAGCCAAAGCCTAAATGGGAATGACACTCCTGCGCCCCCCCCCAGGACAGCAGCCTGCAGGGCTGAGGAGGGGGTTGCTTCCTCCTCCCTCTTCTCAAGCTTCCCTCTCCCCAGGGAGGTTTTTGGAGAGTGCCAATCTGGAGTGGCAAAGTCTATGCTAGGCAGAACTCGAGCCCCAACATCGGCACCATCACCAGTAACCTGCAACTCAAACTGGGCCCAAGGCCACAGGGCTCCTAAAACACTCAGACCTGAGCAATGGGTACTTTCTAGAGACACAGCAGGGCTAGAGGAGTGTGACAAGCAAATGATTGGTTATGAGAAACAACACATTTTGTTTTTATTTTTATTAAGAATATTAAAAAAAAAAAAAAAGCAACAGAAATGAACTGACCCCAAGATAATCCCTAACGCAGGTGACTCATAACATGCTGGGGATCCCGGATAGTCAGGCAGGGGCCACAAGACTCAGCAGATCAGCCCAAAATCAAAAGCATTGGGGTTATTCTGGAAGTAGAGATTCAAGAAGCCCAGGAAAATTTGCTTGTCTGTGAGCAGAGCACAGACTGTGGGGTCCCGCTTCATGGCGGCTGTCCAAAGACGAAGCATCGGGGTGTGGTCCACACAGCTGCGGAAGAGAAGACGGGTTCAGAGGTCAGCACCACCTGCTGGGAAGGCGCTGGGAAGGGGGATGAGCCTGCCTTGCAGAAACTTAAAACAGGCATCTTCGGGAATACAGTGATCTTGGCTGTCTTATTACCCAGCACAGCCACTAACTTGAGCAAAGGCCTCCTCGGGGAACAACTGTGTGTATTCTGAGTTGCACACTCAGTGCTCCCAACAGTGCAGGGCAAGATGTGGGCTGTTCACAGCTCACCCACAGAGAGACAATCCCCTTGCAAAGGGCCATCACATCCATGGATTTTACTTCAGGGCTTTGAAAAAGATAGACAATTGTTTCAAGATACATTTTCAATGGACAGAAGTTGTGAAACCTGGAGATAATGGAGCTGATGGGGCCCCTTCAGAGGGAATTCAGGTGCACGCCCTGCAAAGTAGCCTGTAAAGCAATGTTCATACAACCAGGACTGGTGCTGTGGCTGTCTGACCTGTGATTCGGAGCTCAGACTTTGGAGGAGAAAGGTTCTTGTAAGTGATATTTGAGACAGAGTTAAATATCCAAGTATATCCTGTCTAATCTACAGGGCCAACTTCCAAATACAGGGGGCCATTCTGGGTTATAGCAGCCTCAGCACATACCCAGCATCTCCTCTTGAGCTGTGAGGTGACAGAATTCCTGTCCTGCTGCTATGGTGTGCGTCTAGATGTTTCCCTAAAGCCTCCTGCACCCATAGATGGGGCTTTGGGGACATGGCTGGATCATGCAGGTATGATACTCATTGCTGGATTAGTTCATGCATAAGTTTATAGCTAAATGCAAAGTTAGGTGGGGAAACCCAGTCTAAGGAGGTGGCTCACCATGGGCGTGGCCTGAAGGACCTGTCTCCCTCTCCTCTCCCTTGATCCCTTTCTCTCTCTGTCTTGTCACCATGCCATGAACGTACTTCACCTCTGCCATGTCACTCTGCCTTGAAACCAGCCAGTTATGGACTGAAACCCCTACAAAACTGTGAGCCAAAATAAATCTTTCTTCTCTGTCTTGGTTAATTTTATCTCATCGCTGAGACAAAATACCCAATTCCAAAAATTAAGGAAGGAAAGGTTTATTTAGCTCACAGTTTGTGGAAGTTTCATCCATAATCAGCTGGCTCCACGGCAGGGTGGCACATGGCAGAGGGCACAGTTCATGGCAGTAGAAAACAGCAAAAGCAGCAAGAGCTAAAAGAGTAGGAAAGCACAGAGAGAAGACTCTGACCCTTACATTGTATGTGGGTTACACCCACATAGGTGTAGCACTCACATCCATAATCCCAGCACTGGGCCATGAATCATTCACAAACTCTAGAAGTCTGCCCCATGACCTCATGAGGCTTTGGGAGGACATGCAGATAGAAACCATAACACTCCTTTAACATGCAAGTGCTAAGTGTTTCGTCCCAACAATGAGAGAAATAACTAAGATAACTGCCCAGGATCCTAGATGGCCACTTCATCTGCTTTAACTGTTACGATCCTTCCGTAGGGTGTGGCTGCCATTTGGCCTGTACATTTGAACATCAAGATATATTACTTCCAACTCTGTTTCTTAAGGGTGTTCTGGGAGTGGATGCCTCAAGCAAGATGGACTCAGAAGTATCGTGCCTGCTGAGTGGCACGAGGACCAGTTTCAGGACCACAGATAGCTGCAGACAAGGCACAGGGGCTACAACCCCACCTGCATGCAGGCAGGCTTGGGGGGAGGACACAGGCTCTGATGTGCTGGGAGGCTCTGTATACAGGGTCTGGTCCATGGAGATGCAGGCAGCATATGAGCCTATAGCATTTTGAATGGGAAAGTATGTCCTGGTGGCTTAAAAACCTGGTTCCATTTCACATACATCCTGACACACTTCCACAGGGGGCTTGCACGGTACACAGACCATGTTAGCCACTGTCAGTCAGTGTATTTCCAATCACTTACTCAGCGATTCCATATACATCCAGCCGCTCAAACCAGGGCCAGAAGAGGTAATCAATCATGGTTATATGGTCCCCACCAAAGAAGGTGGTATTCTGATAGCCAAGAATCTAGAAATGCAAACAGAAGAAAAGCAAGTTAACAGACATACATGCAGACAAGTGTGTAGACACTAAATGCAAATACTAGATTAATTCTCAAAGAGGGAGAACATGAACATTGATTCTTCCTGTTTTTAGCAGAGTTCCCTTTTTCTGAAGTTTCCTCCATCTCCTTCAGACTACCCTTTGCCAGCCCCAGCCACACTTCTTATCTCTTCCCTCTCTGCAACACTGCCTCATCCACTGGAGAATCAGAAGGGCAACTCTGGCAGAGGTGGCCCAGTGCCTCCCTCGGCCTGGTTTCTCTGTGTGCCAAGCGGCCCCAGGGTCAGTGTGGATGGAGCAGGAGGCCTTGCCTCAGCCCAGCACTGCCCACTTGCTGGGGGTGTGGGAGCCTCAGGCCAACGTTGAAGGCCAGCATCAGGAGCCCAAGTTGCTGGAGCTGTGGCCCCACTGCCCAAGGTGAAGCTTCCATCTCCATGGCAGGGCTGCACTGTAATGAGCTCCCTGGAAACTCAACATTGTCTTCCTGCTTTCTTCATCTGAGTAGAGCTTCACTCACCATTATCAACTTTTTACATTAAAATAAAATGTCTTTTCCTACTGGGACAAGTCAACCCAGATAGATAGACTGTAAAGAAAACAAGTAAAAGTCCTAACAGATAATGAGCCAACAACCACCGGAAGAAAGGACATGAACATTTTTTAAAAAGCTAAAGTTGGGCCAGCTTCCCAAAAGTGAAGAGTATAGTGCCAATTTCCTAGTAAATCAAGCAAACTATTCACTTTGCTCCACATCACTCACAGCCAGCTAGATATCCCCCCTTGCTTAGATGCAGACGCTGGCACAGGGGGTCATGGATGTAAATTATGCTGGGACTCTGTCTTGAGATACAGAGGCTCCAGTGAGAGGCAGCTTACTCAGAGTCAAATTGCAAATTAGGCTCCTGGGTTGGAGCAGCAGTGGCCAAGGACACACTCCAGGGCTGCTTGTACCCTCAGCTTGGGCGTGGTCTTGCCTCACAGCTAACATAGTCAGTAGCCCTGGTTTTCTGCTGGGCTTCGACTCTGATGAAACCTAGGGCAACCTGCCTCCCTTCTGCTCCAAGCCTCCCTCTTCTCATCTGCTAAATGCTAGTAACGTAAGTGTCTGTCCCAGAGATTCTGGAAAAGAGCATGATGAGAAACAGACTGGCCTCAGCACCCAGTGAGTGTAGGATCACATGATGAGTAAGGGCACAGACACCCAAAGGCCACAGCCACAAGAAGTAGATCCACCCCACCTAAAGATCAGAGCTCCTCTACCCACCACCTTCTGGAAGGTACAGCAAGTTTTGCTGCCTGAAAGTTGAAGTCCTCATCTTCCCCAGTGTGGTGCAGAGAGGCCCCTTACTTGTCCCGTAAGCTGAACCAATGTTAGGTAGCATCACTGGAGTTGGAGAAAGCTAAGAAGGTGGTATGGTTTATATTGAGCTGTCCCCACAGAGCCTCAGCTACTCACACTTGCAGTGTGTGGGATCATGGATACCCTGATGGTGGGCCAAGCCACTGGTGAGTCTGCAGCTACCTGTGACATTGGTGGGGGTGAAGCTGTTGGGGAAGGGAGGGTCACTGTGGTGTGGCTGTGACTTGGAGGGGTATCTCTCCTCCTCCTCTCTGGATCTCTGCCTGCCATGCCCTGAGCAGCCCTCCTCACGCCCCTCTGCCTTGAAGACCTGCCATAGACCCAGCTGATGTGGACTGAACCCTCTACAACTGTGAGCCCAAATAAACTCTCCTTTGAGTTATGTGTGTCAGGTACTGAGCTTCAGTGACAAGAAAGTGACTAAGACAGAGGGGTGGGATGGAGCTCAGGGGCACACTGCTTGCCTAGAATGTATGCAGCACCATGAAGTAAGCATACACATGTGAGCAGGCAGATAACAGGAAGGTACTAAGATAAGCATAAACAATGAAAACTCAACACCGAGGCTATTTTATTGTTTTGTTTGTTTGTTTGTTGAGATAGGGTCTTGCTAGGTAGCCCAGACTGGCCTTGAACTCATGGCAATCCTCCTGCCTTAGCCTCCTAAAGGTTGAGATTACAGGCATGTACTACCACAGCCAGCTACAGAGGATGTTTTCAATCAACTATAAGTAAGATCAGGCTTGGAGAGGAAAGCAGCAAATAATTCCGTGTTTACAGGTCCCAGAAGGCCCTAAGCATCCTTTATATTCAGGAATGGATAATAATTACCCAAACCCTTATTTGGCTTTGAAATGCATATCTGAAGCTAGTTATTGGATGTTAGGGCACAAATGAGAACCAAATCAAAACCGGTGGCTCTGGAAGATCTGTACATCTCTCTGCTTTACGGAGCAGGAGTGTTCTTCAAAAAGCCTTTGTCCAAGCAATTGTCACTTCCCACAATAGCCCAAGCTGTGTTTCCCACATGCAGTGTGTACTTTCATCTTTGTTCTTACCCTCTTTTTCTCATTAATCAGTCCCAGTTCACTCCACTCTTCAATTTTGCTTTCTTAAATAAGCTTTGCCAAGAGATCCCTTCTGTCACTTCTCAGCCACCATAGGAACACAGGTGAGCCACACCAGAGGAGGATGATCCCTCCTCTCACTATTGTCACTACTGAGGCGAGCTGCTTGGGAAGACTCAGAGGCCAAAGGAATGCCAGCAACACAGTAGGGGCCCAACGACAGTGCACAGGATGGACAAGTGAGACCATCCTGTAGGAACTACAGTAATACAAGCCAACCTGAGACTGAGGCATCCATGGGCCTGGCAAAACTCAGGATTCGGTATCTGGCCCTTTATTCTCATTGTTTTCTTTCTTCCTTTTGCTCTTTGTTTCTCTTATTTCTAAATGACTGGGGGGAACTCCAACTATAGAAGACTAATTCCATCCTCCAAATCCAGAGAACAAGTTCAAATAATTTCTTGAATAGTCCTTCATTCTTTCTTTTCTTCCCCCCTTCTCTAGTTTCTCAGACCTTACATGATCATCCTTTGCCCACCAGTCTTGCTTCTGCTTCCTTGAAGTTATCTTTGCTTTCTACACTATCCTCTCTAAATTTCCCACCACAGGGTAAAAACACTCTACCAAGGGGAAACACTTTGCATACAAACTCCTAATTTACAATTGGTTCTACTTTGTAACTATAGACTGCTCTTCTGGTCTAAAGTACAAAAATCAATATTTACCAGTTTGTAACTTGTGTTTGATGCTGTTGCTATTGCTAATTTTACTACATTCGCTAGATGCCATATCTGTTATAATTAGTTGTTCTCCCTTCTAAAACAATACTGGGAAACTCTGGGGTAATAACCTCACCACAGCCCTACACTGAAGGATTAGGGACTGAGCCAAAAAGACACCAACATCTCACTCTTCACCAGTTGTGAAAGTAGGATCTTGTAACAGACATAAACCAAGAACCTCCTGTACACAGAAGTCATTCCTGAATAACAGACTTTTCCTAGAGAAGCCTTGATACTAGTGTTATAGCTACCTACTAAAAAAAAAAAACCTCCACAAATATCATCACAGAAGGCAAAATAAAAAATTTTTTGAAATAGAAAATGACAAGATGACACACAGTGCACCTTGAACAAAGTGAGGATGGCCACAGGTGTCCTCTATCTCTGCTTTTATTTGATAAAAACTAAAAACAAAACAAAAAAATAAAATGACAAGATGAAAAAACAAAACGCAATCTCAGACCACCAGCTCACTCATAACAAGTCTAAGAGGCACTGACATAGAAGAAATTGGAAGACACATACCTAAAATGTCTGAAATGATAGCAATCAAAGTAAAGGAATAAATCCATGAGGTTGTAGAGGAAATTAGATTAAAAGTAATGTCAGGTAAAAAAAAAATAAATGCCAACATTTATAAAGGATCTGCTCAGCAAATCTAGAGAAGAGATATATTAAAAAAATTAGATGATGATAGGAAGAGGATAGAAACTGTAAATGACCAACATAGGAAAGAAATAGAATGCCTGAAACAGTTTCAAATGGATATCCAGGAAATTAAAAATTCCAATGAAAGCTGGCAAAACTGCTTGAACAAAACAGAAGACAGAGAGGAGGAGCTGGGCAGATCTGGGGTGCCCTCACCGGCCTCTCTGCGTGTCTGGAGGACTCTGGATATCTCTGCAACCAGGGAGGGTCCACAGGTTCCTGAAGCACTGCGGCCTGTGGTGAGTACCCTAACCCGGCTGCGATTGAAGAACTGTGGAGCTTCCAAGGGGCAGGTGGGCGCACAGTGTCCCTGAGGCCCAGCTTGTCTGGAACTGCGGAGTTCTGAGCAGGCAGAGGAGGGCCACTGGTTCTGTAGGCCCAATGGCTTGGGGTAGCGCAGTGCCAGAGTCTCAGTAGCTCCAAACATAGAAGGGGATTTTCAACAAATCCTGAGGAATTTTTCAAATAACACTTGAAACACAGAAATATAGGAAAATGACAAAACGAAAGACCAAATTACAACCTCAAACCTCCAGCCCATCTCAAGAAACCCTAGGAGCGAGGTATATAGAAGAAAATATATCCCATCCACCTCATATATCAGACACAATAGCCACTGAAATTGACAAGCAACTCCAGGAAGCTTTAAAGAAATTCAAACTCGAAATAATCTCCCAGATAAAAGAAGAAATGATAAAAGAAATGAAAGAGATTCTAAATATATCTAAAGAAAACACAGATAAAAAATTGGAGGAACTAAACAAAAAGATAGAATCCCTAGACGAGCAATATAAGAAACAAACAGAATACATAATGCAGATGCACAGAGATATACAGGAAATAAAAAACTCCACTGAAAGTTGTAAAAACTGCCTTAATGAAAGTGAAGATAGAATTTCAGACCTTGAAGACAGGATTGCAGCTAGTGAACAGGAAAGGAAAGATCTTTTGAAAATAACAAGGAATCAGGAAACAACAATTCAACAACTGCAAGACGATGCAAAGAAGAATAACATAAGAATGATAGGGATTAATGAAAGAGAGGGA